TATAATAGATTGTATTATAAATTTTCCAAATTGTATTTAAAAAATTTTGAACAGTAGAGTTGGTATACAGAGTTAAAAGTACGGTACAAAATTCATATTTTTTTGTTATGGTTCATTTTTAAAACGATTTTACTTTTTTTAATTTTTCAAAAAAATCTTTAAACAGGTCAATTTGATTTTCATAAATGCTACATTCTGACAGTATTGTAATATTTATAATGTCATTGGATTTTGAATAATGACGTCAACATTTTTTTTTTTTTAATTTAAATGGCAACCAACAATTTTGTTGACTGTTTTTAGTAATAGGTACGGTACTTCTTCTGTCTCTTGGAAAGAAAATATTACCAAAAACAGTAAACAAAAACTTTGGTTGATCTTAAAAAAAATACTGATAACGTCGTTTACAATCATTTACAAAAAAAAATCGACCTGTTCGAAATTTTTTTTTTAAAATTACCTACAAAATTATGAATTTTGTACGCTATTTTTGGTTCATTCTGTTATTCTGTAGGTAGTAGGTATGTACCTGGATGTGAATAGGACACTACTCCTTCCTGTTTACGTTTTACGACCTTAAAATTTCCTGAATTCGTTATTACAGCACGACTTTATGCAACCCATAAAACTCTACAATTAAACAAAAGGTTACATATTTACATCTTATTTACAATGAAAACATAATTTGCTTAAAAAAAATGATCGAAAATTAAATAACTGATTTATCCGTAATATGGCAATGCATTTTTAAAATTTTATTTAACTTTTTTGAAATAGGCATGATACTAAACAAAGACCTAATAATACAGGTTCAAACCTTAATAAATATTGGTAGTTACTAAGAACAAATTCAATAATTTATAATTATAAAACTTTAGATTGACAGTTTATGTTATACAGGATGCGCCAGAACTCGCGCCCTAGAGGAAAATTTCAAGTAAAATAAAAAAAATTGACATTTAATTTTTGACATTTGACATTTTTTATGTTTACTTAATGATACTATTTACTTTGTATAGGTTTTTTTACAATTTTTTAATAAAGGTACAAAAATTTCGTCAATAAAGGCCACAAATAACATTGAACAGAGTCACAATTTAGGATACAACTTCATTGTATCCTCTTCTGTAGCCTGTAGCAAAATAAATTTGGAAATTATTTTTTCAACAAAAATTCAAAGTGTAAAATATAAACTCTCATAACCTCGAAATTTTTGTAGATAGAATTTTTTAAATATTTTATATGTTTCTGGTATCTTACCTCATATGGCATTTTTCTCTGGGGCGCGAGTTCTGGCGCACTCTGTATAAACTGACAAAATATAATAAAAAAATAAATATATACAAAATACAAAAGAACCACATACAATTTAGGTATTTTCGGAAGAATTTGTATAAATTTTTTATTGTTAAGTGTTAAATTACTTAAGATTTGTCAACAAAATTTATTCGGACATTAAAAATGGTCAACTTTTACGAGTCAGTTCACTACGAGTAGCATTTCTGGGCCAGTTGTTTCCATTTTTGACAACTTTGAAAGTCAAAGCAATAAAGTCAGTCTCAAGCTAGAAGATGATATTTATGTTGTCCAACCGACAATAAAACGATAACCAATAAATAAAAATTGTCATTTATAATGACTATCATCGAAAAGGTGTGTTGACATAAAATCCTTACATATCTAAAAGGCGGATCATAAAATAAGACAATGTGCGGCGAGCTATAAATCAACTAAAGACACTCAACATTAGCAAAAAATGCTTTAAATTGAATCCTGCTGAAATGGGCGTGGAGATAATAATAGCAACATCTATCTTGAGAAGAGCTACCTACAAGAAGAAGTCTGAACTGCTTCGATAAGTATTACATCAACTGATCTAAGATGCTATCGGCGAATATTAAACATAACAAGTCCGCAAGATCGCCTACAATGGCGCCCACTTTCACTCTTGCAAACCCGGTCATATGCACAGACCAGGTTCACGGCTCTCACCAATGTCATTGCCGACCATCAACCTCTGTTATTATTTACGATTATTCGGCGGTTTTGCGGACGAATCGCCACTCCAGGAGGGCAAAACGAAACTTGAAACTCTTTCATCCACTTTTATAGACCTAAAATGCCTGTTGATGCGTCGTTTTTCATTAATTTATTTGAAATGCAAATTTTTCATTCATGGAAGAAATCGTGGGACCACCCGAAACCCACAAGTCATAAAACTCGCTGCAAGTGCACAAACATTTCGTAATTTCCCTGCGGCCCAAATCCGGGCGGATCGGTGGCCACTTCCACCGTATCAGCGCCATAATTAAGCAATATACGATTAGCATATGAACTCGGAAAACAGTTATTACATAAGTGCTGCGCCCACAGAAGATGTCGTCAAATAGATTTTCGGTAAAAACAGTAATTAGTTCGGTTAATACGTTTTTTACGACATTTCGGCATAAATAACAAGGCCGTCGTATCAACCAGACGAATTTCCTGAATCAAACAAGGTCGCGTCGCAGGTATGCAATTATACCTGAAAACTTATGAAAAAACTTGAACTGGAAAAATTCGGTGCGTTCATTTAAAATGTCGTTAATTATTCAAGCAGTGCTAAATGTCAAAAAGGAGACTGGGGGAGGATTTTTATGCCGGCAAGAGTCGACCAAAGCGCAGCTTGAAGAAGCGAAAAAATTTCTACACTTTTTTCAAGAGTAATTCAGAAACCATTACATGTAATTCAGATTAGTCAATTGTCTTTCAGAAAATGTTATTTGCAATTCAGAAGAGTAAAATGAGTTTCAGAAATCATGAGATGTGATTCAGATTAGTTAATTTGATTTCAGAAAGCATAAATTGGAAATCAGATTAGTCAATTGTATTTCAGAAAGTATTAATTGTAATTCAGAAACCATTACATGTAATTCAGAACAGTAAATTCAATTTCATGTAATTCAGAAAATATCAATTGTAATTCAGATGAGTAACTTACTGTTTTATCAAAATGAAGTTTACACATAAACACGAATTATTTTATTTTCAAAATTAAAGAATTACATAAACTTGGTATTTTATTAAATAAATAAGATATTTTTTTCAAAGGGATTTTTAAATGAAAATAACAAATTCTGAATTGAAAAAGTAACAATTTTGAAACTAAAGCTTATAAGCTTATAAGAAGTTATAAAATGCCTCAACTTTGAGCTCATTTCAATAAATTACACAAAATTTATTGACAATCATCATAATACCTACTTGTATCTTTTGCTAAATAAATTTTTCTGTATACAGGATGCGCCAGAACTCGCGCACCAGAGGAAAATGCCATATAAAGTAGGATATCAGGAACATGGAAAAAATGTTAAAAAAATTTTATCTATAAAAATTTCGAAGTTATGAGGGTTTAAACTTTGTACTTTGACTCTATTTATTTCTGTTGGAAAAATAATTTTCCAAGTTTTTTTTCTATAGGCTATTAAAAGAGGAAACAAAGAAGCTGTAGCCTAAATTGTAACTCTGTTCAATGTTATTTGTGGGTTTTTTGGCAAAATTTTTGTACCTTGACTAAATAATTGTAAAAAAACATATACAAGATTATCTGTATCATTAAATAGACATAAAAATTGTCAAATGTCAAAAAATAAATGTCAAATTTTTTTGACAGATAGAAATTTTTAAACATTTTTTTCTTGTTCCTGGTATCTTATCTTGCTTGAAATTTTTCTCTAGGGCGCGAGTTCTGGCGCAGCCTGTATACATCTTTTTTCTTCAAAGTTTTTGTAGCAAGAACCTTATTTTTGTCCACAACATTGCACTTGCGGTGTGTTTCTATCAAAATTATTAAATTTAAGACGTCTACAAAACAAAGTTGCATCTTACATCCTTCGAAAACAAACAATAAACGTTAAGAAGCTTTTATTTTGATCTTATGAAAACCAGAAAGTTACTTATGTGAGAGTCAAAATAATGAGTCGATTTCAGTTTGTACTGTTAATTACTTCATTAAATAATGGACTTCTTAAACAACGCTCATATTTACCTGAAATATCTCAAATAATCACAATTTTATTTACAGAGTGTGGTTTGTGCCATAGCAGACACAATATGTAAAATACTAAAACAGCATTTGAATGTTTTTTTATAAGATTGGCCCCATTTTTTGTAGAAAAGAGAATGAGGGGGGGCTAATTTTTATCGGTGACCTCTCATTATTTAATTTTTTTACACTAACACAAGTGCATTTGCCTGATTTCATGAAAGTTACTTAATCGTAAGGAATTATTAAAAGAAACAGAACAAAAGCAAGAAATCAACCAATAAACGAAAAATAATTGCAAATTATACCAAAAAGACTTTTAACGACGACAATAATGTTACTGTCAATGTCAAATTGACAAATTCACTCGAACATGACATTTAAGTAGTGTAGTTGAAGTACATACAGGGTGAACATAAACTATGGAACCAAGCAGTTTTATTTTTAATCATTTGCCTCCAGAAAATAATAATTAATATAAATTAAAGTAATATAAAAAATGTGATCGTATTTTCAGAACGAAATTTTGTTTTGTTTGTGAGTTATGCGATTTTTCTTTGTCAAAATCGCAATTTATGTAAAAAAAAATTTATTTTAATTAAATATAAAGCAGATAGTTGTAATCCTTACAATATAGCTTTTATGGGAAAAATGATTTTATAGTGGGTTGCCATTTAAAAAAATTATTTTTTTTGTAGAACTCAAAAACAAAAAGAAATTTCGAAAAATTTTATTCTTCTTAAATCATCACATTTTTACAGTACTTTATCACTCACCAATTAGTTTTTTCAAAAAATAAATAGTTTAAGCAAAAAACGTTTGGTTCCATACTTTTTATTCACCTGGTATGTAAATTAATGTTCAAGGCTACCATCCTTAGAGACCCTTTAATTGTTTCAATTTACATTGTGATAAAAAATTTATTTCACTTTTAAGTTGGTAATGAAAAAATGAAATTGATGATGACGTCCGGTCTACCCTCCCGAATTTTACTTATAAATAATTATTGTTCTATTTGGTTTTGGCACTTTTTGCTTCTAACAACAATGATGGAGCTAAAAAATTCATTTTGCTCCTATTCGCTCCGCATCGGTGAAACCAATTTTCGCACCTTATTACCGCACCAGAAAATTACATCTTCGAGCGAATTTGCAACACGCAACCGCTATTAACCGCTTATCTTTTTTGTCATTTAGTCCCGAAGCGATACCAAATATGTTTTTTCATGTAAAGACCTCCGACATGGCCAAATTAGCATCCACCTGTAATTATTTTCTCATCAGAGCCTTAACATTCTTGGCCACAGTGACTGCATAATCGTCCGTTTAACAGTTCTCCAATTTTTGTTTTATCTTTTATTGAAAAAATCGATTAGCATTAATGGAAAAAATTGTAATTAATTTCTACAAAGGATGTTATTCTTAAGAATCCGGTTGGATCAATGCCAAATTCCGGAGTCTCAGGTTCTCACAGTGATATTATTAAAACTGTTAGTAGCTAATTATTATGTAGTAAAAAGTGTGAAGTAGTTGGTAGTAGACTAGTCAACGCATATTTTATTTTGTAGAGAAGTGATTCTGGCGTCAATGAAATGGCAAAACCCATCGCTTAGCGGAAATAGTCCCATCTTTTCTAATATCTCTAAATATTTCCGAAGAGGAATTGCGAATATTTTAAAATACGATTGTTTATAATATTTGCATTGTGCATAATAGATTTTATTGGGCCAATAAACCTCTTCAATACAAAAAAGTAGTTCTTTTTAATTCTATGATACACTAACACCTACGTTCTTGTGTGGTTGGAAGAAAATTAAAAATTTTAACTACTATTTACGGTTTCTCTTCTTTAAGCCTACATGTATAGTTTTAAAGACACTGTAACTTTATAATCTGAAACTTCACCTACATGGATTGCTCACTCAAAGTTCACTAAATGTGAAACGTGAAAATTTGGGTAATAGCAACGAATTTAACAATTTGCAATTATTATTTTCAAAACCTTTAAATATCCTTTATCCGCGAGCCTCACAAAAGTGGCCACTTTTATTACTAAATGTCACAAGTAAAAGTTTTACCTTTCAGGCATTCGACATTTTGCACTACTAACTGCACTAGTTAAATTAACATACACCTTCGAAAATCTTAACGCAAATTTCGATACCGACGCGTGAGGTTTGTTAATAAGCGTTGTTATGATTTCATTGCAAAACGTCCTGATTATTTTGTTCATTTACTTGCTAATTATAGTGTTGCTTTCGGCAAAATAAACGTTTAGCTTCGCCACGTAAACTATCACTTTTGCTCCTAATAACATAATGTACTTTAGCTACTATTGTATTATTGTGCACATACAGGGTGCGCCAGAACTCGCGCCCCAGAGAAAAATGCCATGTTCCAGGAACATGGAAAAAATGTTTAAAAAAAATTTATATATAAAAAATTCGAAATTATGAGAGTTTAAATTTTGCACTTTAACTCTTTTTTTTTCTTTAACTAACTTTTTTGTATAGGCTATTAAAAGAGGAAACAAGGAAGCTATATCCTAAAATTCTAACTCTGTTCAATGTTTTTTGTCTTCTATTGGCAAAATGTTTGTACCTTTAGCAAATAATTGTAAAAAAAACATATACAAGATCATCACTATCATTAAATATATGTAAAAAATGTCAAATGTCAAAATTTTTTACACATTTTTTTCATGTTCCTGGTATCTCACTTTACTCAAAATTTTTCTCTGGGGCGCGAGTTCTGGCGCACCCTGTATTTTACGAATGAGCTTTAAATCAAATAATAAAAATAAAAACACAGAGTCAAGATAAAAAACAAAACTTTAATACAATTTATTATTCCAAGAGTTTATGGTAATACAAATTTGTAGAAAAATTTTAAACAAAAAATTTAACAATTTTATTTCTGAATTCTGAATTACTAAACGTTTGGGTATGAGCTTGCTTTTCAACCGGTATGACTAGAAAAACTAAAAATGGAGTCCCTAACAAATTTCAAAATATATTTTTTAAAGCTAGAGCAATTTTATTCTTACTTATATTGTTTATAATCCCTTTTGGAGTAAACTAATTAAGTAAGTAAACAGTTACCAAAAATATTATTAACTATTTGGACGACTCGATTTTGCAATTTTTTGGAACATGAATAATTCACACACATTTTTTATGAGAATACTAATATTTATTCCGACTTTTTGTTTATATTTTTCAAAGCTTATCTAAATGAAACCAAATCACATTTTATTTATTCATTAAGCGTTAACCACTGCTTTATCTTAATTTTTGAGTCCTTGATTTAGAAAAATTAAACCTATTCTCAGAATTGTTATTTGGAAAAGGTCAGGAACAACCGCATAATAAAATTATTTTGATTTGATAATTGCCTACGAATGGTAGCAACAAGTTCATCATTGATTGGTCTCTCTGTGTTGTAATTAAACCGCAAATTGACTTTAATCACTATAAAGACAAATTGGGTCTTAAAACATGTTCTCAAGAGAACAAAAACCTCAAAACTAATTTACTTGTAATTTTCAGTACTGTGATGTGCTAAAAAGATTAATATCACTTTGTAATTAACAAAAAATGTGCAAAAATCGTAACCGGTTTGCAAATATGGTTGGTTTATTATGAAAATAAATATTTTAATTAAGTAAACACTTAATGTCAGGAATCCACTTCACTCTCGACATTTATTTTACCTAATTAAGCCAAAATGTATCAAAGTTATCTCGAGTAGTTTATTATTTAATAAGCGTTTTATTTTTTATCACGTGATTGATTTGGCCAATTAACAAACAAGTTTCATTAAGCATTCATGTGTTTTTTTGGTTTTATAAAGTAAATATGGAAGGCAAAGGTTACAAATTATAAAAACAAAATTATGCTTGGCCTTTAAGTTCAGGTTCATTAATCTTATAAATTCGATTTTTGGCATATTTTTTTGCAATTCAATAATTAAAAAATAAAAATAAAAGTACCGTTGGAAATATGAGTTATAATTTAGGCAAATTAGTCGAAAACTCATCGCTCATTAGTCCGGTTTAGAAAATTACCCAAAACTGGTGTCAGAGTGATTAATTAGAATAATGTCTCAGGAATTTACATAAAACTTCCATAAAACCACGAAATCTAGTATCAAGCGTAATGAAATTTGTCAAGTGATGATTTACAAATTGATAAAATACTCACTATCAGCTTCATTTCGCTCTTTCACTAATTGCTTACGACACAGACACTTCAGCAAACCAGAGGACTGAGAATATAAGATTCCATTTCTCTGGATTTATACCATGCCCACACCCCACTCAGACAAAATCCGAAATGCAGCATGGACTTCTTCTAGGTCAAGAATCATCAAAGTGGCTTCTAAAATTTCAAATTTGTGAAGCTTTTAACTATTTTTGAAAAAAATATTGCCCAAACACGAGTCAAGGATTTGAAAAAATGTTTGTTTAAATGCTCGGTTACAAAGAACCAGTTTTCGGCGTTAATGCATGGAGACCTTATTTGCATATTTTATAATAATTTCGTTATTAAAGGCCGCCTTTGAGCTTATTCGGCGAAAAATCAAACTGCATTTTTTGAATTTTTAACGCGTACGCTCGTAAATCAGTATTGAATGATTGCTTCCTCGAAAAAGAAACAATTGGAGAATAATTTCAGCATAGTTCGTGTTGCTATTGTCGGGAATTTTTTGCAAACCGCTTATATGAATATAATAGTCGGTGGATCATCAAAACTTGACAGTAACCCACTGACATTTTTAATCTTTATTTAGATTTAAGATTTATTGATGCGAGTTTTTATTCTTGTCGAAAACAGTTAAGATTGATTCACGTAACGCTAGAGAAGAATATTAAGTAATGACGTTAAAATATTTCAGCAATGTGAACAAAGTTAAACTTAAATGAAACAACAAAGCAATAGTATTTTTGGCGGTTGGTTTAAATGAAATGTAATACTTAAAAATATTTAAATAAAATAAAAAAATAAATCAACATGTATGATTAACATTTAAAGTATTGGCATCTGAAAAATGCGAGTCACTGTTGATTTTGTTATTAATATTTCCTTTTCAATAGAAATCTTTGTGCTATTTTTGTACGAGTATTTATTTTTGAGATGCAAAATACAATTTTTTTTTCGATACATTTATTAAAATCAATAGAAATAAGTTTTTTGATTTAATTTTTAGATTTGAAGAGATGATATATCAGAGAGTTATCTCATTTACTATTACTTAACAAATCCTGCAAAGTTCTGTTTAAGTTGTCCATTTTATCACTAAAAAATCACAAAAACACTTCCAAATATTTCTATTTTCACCGAAAATCTTCAAAAATGTTCACTTCAAGTAACCACTGTCTACTTCTCTAAATCACGACTGTCACCATCCATCAGATTGTGAGCAGACTAAATGACAAAATTTCGATCAAAATCCAATACAAGAGTAGGGCCATTTCCGGTAAAAGGTAGTGTTAATGAAACGAAAATTGGGTATTTACGATTTTTTGTCCTTAACGGTTTTTCTGTTTAATTATACATTAAAAATTAATTATTCAGCAAATTAATTAAAGCCCCACGCAAACACATTTCAAGTTTATTTTTTGTCAATTTGGTACACATCGAGTACTTATCCACCTATCCAAATATTTATATTATTGCAATCTATATCAAGTCAGGGAAGTTCGTCACTTTTTACAAATATTGCATTTATTACATGTTTATGCATAAATTATTAATTAATGAAGTGGTTCTTGTAGTGCATGATAATTACACTTAACCAATGATTTGTGTCTTAATTTTGAAAATATGAATTATTAACAACACACCAGTTTGATTTCTGTGTAAGGCTGACAGTGTTGGCAAGGACTTACAAAAAGATGCAGATCCAGTGAATTTAATTATTTTTACCAAATATAGCCTCGAATAAAAAAACGACATTATCCTCCTTGAAATAAAATTCACATAACAATATCTACAAGAAGTCAATTAAATAAAAACACTTGGTCTACATATTAGCTTTTTTCAAATCTCTTGCTGAGTCTGCTTTTATAGACGGTGAGATAATCTTTCCAAACTGGTGATTTATTTGTTATTATATTTCGAGTTTGGCTATCTTGTTTGCCGCCATTGCATTTACACAAACTTTTTTTCTTTTTAACGTCTGGAGCTTATCTGAAATTGTCAAAAGATAAAAAATACAAAAGTACCATTTGTTAAAAAAAATAGATAAGGAAACGAAAGGCTGCAAAATGTCACTCTATTTTTGTAATAGCCATATAAAAAAAGAAAAAAAAGTAACACAAAAAAAGGAAGTATCTTTTTTTATTACTACTATACCTACTAATGTTTGAAATGTTCCAAAACTCCATATAATTTCATATAAAAATATCAATTTTATTTATTGATTCATTGATTTATTCATTTATCGTGGATTAAGATATTGCCAAACATTTATACAGGGTGTGTCAGAACTCAGAACATAGAAAAAATGTCTAAAAAATTCTATCTGTCAATTTTTTTTTACCTGTGTTATTTGACATTTGATATTTTTTATGTCTATTTAATGTTACTGATAATCTTGTATATGTTTTTATTTAAATTATTTAGTAAAGGTACAAAAATTTTACCAATAAGAGCCACAAATAACATTAGAACACAGAGTTACAATTTAGGATACAGCGTTTTTGTTTCCTCCTCTAATAGTCTGTAGAAAAAAAACTTGTAAAATTATTTTTCCAACAAAAATAAATTGAGTCAAAATTTAGACTTTCATAACTTCGAAATTTTTATAGATAACATTTTTTTAACATTTTTTTCATGTTCCTGGTATCCCTGGGGCGTGAGTTCTGTCCAGGGCCGTACCCAAGGGGGGGTTTAGGGGGTTCAAACCCCCCCCCGAAAAGCTGAGCACTTTGTTATACAGTGTTATAAGTGTTAAAAATTTAGTTTTTTTGTTATTTTAATGAGTTAATTTTAAATTTTTGTGAATAAATTTTTCATGTGTTAATTATACAGTGTTTCATTCTTATTGTTAGGTACAAATTTAAATAGTTAACAGAATATTTAATTTTAAGATAAAAGTGTTTTGAAAAATGCTATGAAAAGGAGCTACACCCCCTAAAAAAGGTACGTTTTTTAATGGGTTTTTCCTAATATTTCAGAATAGATAAAATTACAAAATTTGGTACCTTTAAATGTACACCCAAACAAATGCCAAATAACAAAATTTTTAATTAGGGGCGTCCTAAACGGTAAAACAAATTTAATTTTTAATTTTTATGCTGTTTATGGTCTGTAACATAAATTTTTGAACCGATTTTTACTAAAAATCCGTAAATTGTATCGGAAAAACACAAAAGACCTTTTTTATGAAAAACTATGAAATTTTGTTGCTGAAAGTGGCAAGAAACCACAGGCAAAATAGTTAGAGTAAATTTTTACCCTAATCCCATCTAGTTTAGGAAGCACCTAATTAAAAATTTCAACATTTTATTTTTGTACTTGTTTAGGTGTATAAAAGTTATCATCTGTAGCAAATTTTGAAATTTTTTTCTAAAATGATTTCGGAAATATTGAAAAAAAACCTATTAAAAGACGCACCCCTTGCGTAGCATTTTTCGATATATGTTCATAGAAAATTTTTGTTTTAAAAATGAATATTCATCTCCTGTTTAAATTTGTAACAATAAAAAGTATTAAAAATTTATTTTATTTTTTGTTACTTTTGTGAGTTAATTTGTATTTTTTTTATGTTTAATTAGGATCTCTTATTTCAATTTAAAATAAAAACGTGTACTTAGAGATTTTTGTTTTTTAATCCGTCTTCTTTAATTTCATTTTAATGGACCAACAAGAACCCCATTTTTAAAATCTCTATCCACTTCTGTTCATGATTAATTATGTGGTATAAGCTGTAAAGATGCTAATCTACAGCTGCTTGCATCTTATTTTCTTACATTAAAAAACTACAGTTAATTTGAGAATAAATATGACAAAACAAAAAGTTTTAGTTTTAATTCATCTCCGCCAATAAAAAGTCAATTACACACCACTTTTAGTTGATAGTAACCGTCATAAAACGTTTTTGTATGACAGTAAAATGATTTTTTCGAAACCAGCTTAGACGTAAAATTCCGCGTTGATTAAAACAATAATCGTTAAACCTCCACTCCATATATCACTCAACCTTGACACTTCAACCACGATACCAAAAACCTGAAATTCTTATTTTCCGTTTGACACACATCAATTTATATTTAAAGCCCACCAATTAAAATTCAATTTAATAATCCGGGCGTGTAATTATCAAAGATTGTCACGGATTTACAGGGAAAACAACCGACATAAGGAAATCGAAGTCGAGTAATATGCAAATCAACGTAAAATTTTAGTATTTTGGGTGTGTGCTTAAAAGGGGTAATAACAGTGCACGATAATAATCCGTAGGAAGAACGATGTGTTCACATTTCCTTGACGAAATTTGCATTCTATGCAAGGCCTTTTTCGAGGAGCGATGCTCAAAGATTTTTTTCTTGTGGTTATCGATAGAGAGAGACGAAGATGGAAGCGATAAGGTAAACTAGATCAGAATGAAGACTTAAATGTCAACAGGAAAACTTGTCTAGACAATGAATCTGTTTTCATGATAGTGTACTATGACATTTATTTTTAATTCATCGCTAATTTTTTCCATGAATATTAATGAACTGCTGAGATTATAAATCCTAGCCAGGCTAAGGTAAGTCTCGGATTTTTTAACCACATCTATAATTAAACGTGATTTGATTTAACTACCATTATTAATTAAGATTTAAAATCGCCATCTATAACAACAACACGTAAGAGTAGTTATTAAGTAAATTAAGAGAAGCTTCTTGTCTGGTCAACAATCAATTTATTATAGTGTCAAAAACACTAAATTCCAATTCAGTTTTTACTCAGATTTCATATAATCTTTAAATTCTTTTAGTTTTTCTAAATTGTTATATAATAACATAGTTTATTTTATTACCCAATAAATTTTCTTTTTTATCTTCGAAATTTTCCATATCTTCTTCACTTTTTTGTTTGATTGGTTATATCCGTTTCGGAGCAACAAAACGCAAAGTTTTGGTTATTAATAATGTAAATTTGTTGTTTATTTTAAGAAAAATTAAACTCTGAATCTAATTGATTTGTGAAAACTTTTTTATAGTTTTCGGCCCACTCAAAAAGGTAGGATTCGAAATTAATTTATACAAATAAAAAATTTATGAGATTTTTATTAATTAACGAATTTGTCGTAGAGTGAGTTGTCTGGAGAGTTTATAATTTTTTTTACAAATAAATCTTATTTTTGTTCTTATCTAAAACAGGGCGTGATTTACTGAGCTTTTTTTAGTGAATCAGTTAGTTATCTATTGTTCTTTACTACTCTACTCCCAAACGTTTTTTAAATTTTTGTGTCTCATAATGATTAATTCTCCTGATTCAAACCACACTAATTAGATTAATATCCGGAAATTTTATTTTGAATTTGAGCACATTGAATATCTAGTTTTGAATCAGAGTTTAAGGTTGAACTATACTAAGTAAAAAAATAAATCGTTATTTAAAAATTCTGAAAAAAATATTATAACTTTTTGATGGCCTTATCAGCAATATATATAAATTTGAAATTTTTTGTCCGTGCCATTTAAAAATAAATTTAACTTCTATTTTTGGCCATTTTATTTTTTTATAAAAAAACTGTAGGGAAGAATTTTTTGATTTATTTTTGGCATATTATAGATATTATATATTATAGATTACCTACTTATGTTACTGTATTTTTTTTCATGCAATTTAAATAATGCGTTTTTTTATAAAAAAAAATAAAAACTATTGAATTTTGCAATCCGTTACAAATAATCAAAATGAGATAAAAACTCTGTGCTACTGTGTGTGTGAGGTACTTTTTTAATTCAGGAACAACATCCAATTGTAAAAAAAAACAATTTGTTTACTGTATTACTTAAAAATTCAATTTTTCTTTTTTTCGTTTGAAAACTTGTTTGAACGGCTTTCCGTCTGCACACATGCGACGGTGGTACATTTTGAAACTGGCTAGAGACATGCCATCTACGGAACGGTAGAGTAAATAGTTTTGAAAACTGTAATTTTGTAAGAGTAATTTTCTGTAAAAAGACTGAAAATTGCAGTTTCAATTTCAAATAAGAAGAATAATAATTTTTAATAAATTATGTAATATATATTTTGTTTGTTTCAATTTATTATATTATAGCTCTCATTGTGGCGTCACCATCTATTTATCTTTCTGGTTTTAGCCATTGAAATTAAAAAAAAAACAAAACAAAATTAATTGAATATTGACAAAAATGCTAATACCAAGAATTAGTTTTTTCAATCTGTACAAAGATGCATATTAGTCATAAAATAAGCAAATTAGGTGTAATTTCTTTTGTTTTATACATTCGGAAAAGAACATTTTTCAATTCTGAATTTCGAACTATATGAGAACGAATGGTGTTGCAGGACAAAGTGTACAGTTGCGGAATTAAAATTTCGGGCAGTATTTTTCTGTCATGTTAAAAAGTTTACTGTAAATTATCTCTTACTGTTATTATGACTGACATTTGACAATTAAACTTTATTTTTGCTAAACTTGTTAATTAAACAATTTATCTGTCTTAGGAAATTTATTAATTAAACTAAATGTAATTAAATCATCGCTTTGATCTGCTGCCTATCCATACCACAAATCACTATTTTTGAAAGTAAATAAGTTAAAATGACATAAACATGACAAGAGTAAAAAAAATAAGTTATTAATGTAAAGGTTATTTTAGAATTTACATTTTGAAAATGACAATACTGCCCAAAATTTTAATTCCGCAACTGTATCTGAGAGTAACTTTTTACATGCAAGCTGCGCGAAAAGGATTAAAAAAAAGATGTAAGGTATCGGTATCTACATTTTATTTTTATTTAACTTGTATACAATGAAAATTAGGTTGTTGAAAAACCTAGAAACATCTATACTTTTGGGTAATAAACATCAAGACCAATACCGCAGTGCGTGGGTCCATTACGTAGTAGTTTCATATATCCTTTATCTCCCCAATTTTCACCATATGAATTTTTAATTAACCAATAGTCTTTTCCATTTAAGCTGCCGTAACCAGCAACAACAATTTCATGATTGAGCATGTTTTTGGTTATTGATTGAGCACAGTCTTTAGTTTCATAAATGTCAGTACTTTTCCAATTACCAAAATAGTTCAAATCATTTTTGCTAATATAAATTGCTGCACTAACAGGGCCCTCAGTGGCTACTAATTTGGCTAAAATGTATTCTTTCTGTGTAACATCATCACTAACGTATCCGTATCCAGTAAGTTTTGCGACAGATTTTGTTTTATCATAACGACATTCTTTGTTTGTCTTAGCTACAAATTTTGTAGTTAGAATCGCTGTTGATGCCCCCATTCAACGCAAGGTATTTTAATGCTTCTCGGGCGAAACCACCATTGCAATCACCGGTAGGTGCACAATCAAGAATTTGTTGTTCGCTAAGTGTCGGCAGTTTCGAAGTCTTACTTTTTATATTTAAGCGAGCTTCCGTTGAACCAATCTATAAAAAATAAAATGAACATTAATAAAAACAGTACTTTTAAAAAAATCACTGAATTTAATACAATCTAGTTTTCTTAAGTAAACTTCTATTGATGTCTATTGTCTATCACTGATGGTGGTGGTGCGATAGGACAGCTTAATTAATCTTTATAAATTTGATTTAAAAATAGTATAGTTTTTGATGAACTGATTAAAATTTTAGACAATACAAATTTTTGGAGAAAAGGTACCTAACTTATTTCAATAAAAGAGGCATAAACAACTTACAGCTGAAAATGACCAGCAAGAACCACATTTGTTTTGATTTTTGACTTTCGACATAAATCCTAGTGCTCTCCAGTCAATTGCTTTTGGTATATCCGTGATGTTAATATGACTAAAATCACGGACATTTTCGTTAGACAACATGGACATATCTGTTGGACGTGAACACGAGATAACTCTTTCTTTTTCCTCATCTGTAAAGTCAGCAAGACTAGTAATGCCTAGTGTGAACTGTTCAAGTCCTTGGTCGTATCTTGCGTTATGTTCTTGAACGAATTTTAAGGTTTTTGCAAAAAGGTCTTTACGAAACGCTTCTTCTTCAGCGCCGAGATATTTTCGATCGTTTTCTTTCTAAACACAAAATTTTATATTTATAATACTGACAGAAATATGTATTATACTCACTTTGAAATTTTCCCATTCTACTCCAAGTTGATGGTCACTTATAGTAGCAGAGAAGGCATAACTTGCCAATGTCAGTATTATGAACAATTTCATCTCGGACAAAGTTTTGTAAACTAAGCTTTACAAACTTCTATTTAGGTTTTGTTTTTAAACTTGACTTATATATAGTTTTATACCAAAAAAAGACCAATGAGCGAAATTTGTTTTTATCAAGATAAAATTTTAATGGAAAATTGAAGTATTCAGTAGAAATATATTTTTCAATCAAATTAAATTTCATCATATTTGTTGATACTGCTAATTAATAGATGATTGCTATCAACAATTAAAGTACAGCAGGTAAAATGCGTAGAAATATTTTTTTTTCACTTTTCTGTTTTAAAAATTATTATTTTGCATAGGGGTATGACATATCCATTGATAAGTTTTATTTACACTTAATCAAATTATTACAAAATAAAAAAGAATAAAATATAAAGGAAAATAAAAATATTCAGAACAGCGCTTAGAATAGGTTGTGACTAAAAAAAATAACAAATGAAAGAATACGAATCAGAATAAGAAAAAAGAGGCTTCAAGTAAATCACAGAAAAAACAAAGAGATGAGGAACAATAATGAGTTGAATCAATTTTTGATGTGAGGAATTTCGAGAAAAATACAAAGAAAAAAATTAGAAGCAATAACAAAAATTAATGTGATAAAAAAAACAAAAATATTTAGGACGAATGTTGATTAAGAACGTTTGTTACTTAAATTAGTAAAAACAAAAAAGGATTGAAAACTTGAAAAAGATCGAGGAATATGAATTAGTTAGAAAATTAAGGAGGTGAATGAAATTATTTATTAAACAAAAATATCATTTCGAATTTTTTTCAAAAAAAAAATTGTAAAATTCAGAAAAGAACAAAGAATTATTATGCTATAACCAATTGGATTTAAACAGTCACCGTTATTTTTTTTAATTTTATAACGAATGAAAAGATAAAAAATACACTGGCCACCAAAATTAACCGGACAACTAAAATTATGCGATTTTTCACATTGCAATATTTTTGTTATTCTTAGTCGCATTTCGACAAATTTTTGTTCGTCTTAAAGAACGAACTTTGCAGAACATTGTAATTTAATTCAATAACATTTCTAGTTTTGTCTTGTAAATGTTATACCTAAAAGACGAGAGCACTGTTTTTTTACTTGCCTGTTCTTTTCTGAATGAGGACCAATTTGTTTCACCCTCTGGTGCCCCAGAGATAAAAAGCATTGAAAAAGCTAATGTTACAAATATTCGTTCAAAAAGTAGGCTGCATAAAAAGGTAGTTAAACCGAAAATTATTGCATATGTCTCTAATTACGTCTTTGAACACAAAAAATCTGAAAAACTTGGAACTTCAAGGGGTTACAACAAGTAAAACGGTTAATTACTGGAAGCTTCCATGCGCCTACTTTGACGTTTTGGCACATTCGGATTACTTAATACGAACAATTCATTAAAATTGGAAAATTAAATGTAATGCTTTTTTGAAGGTTTATATCTTTCATGTTTTAAGAATTAAAATTGTGGAAAATGTGGTATATAATTCAAAAAAGAATGGGCAATAATCTGAAATCTGTAAAGAAAAAAAAGTTTGTCTCTGTCGCATACCACAGCTCAGTATAAAAACAAGTAAAAAGGCAGTGCCTTCGTCTTTTGAGTATCACATTTAAAAGACAAAACTAGAAATGTTATTGAATTAAATTACAATGATCTACAAAGTTTTTTCTTTAAGCCAAACAAAAATTTAACACATATTCCAAAACTGTTCTTTAAAATTTTTAAAAATCTTTTCTTCACATCTTGAGAAGTTTTATAAAATGTATTAAAGCAAGATCGGCATCTACTCTCGATTATCAGAATTTCGATAGACTAAACTTTACGAGAGGGAACAGCCGGTATATTAAAAATCACCTTTTTGCATTAAGAAACGTTAATTTCTACTTTGGTTTAACCGAAATTTTGATTATCCGAAATGGGTGTAGTCCCGACCGTTTCGGATAATTGGAAGTCTCCTATACATAACTTGGTAGAAAAAAATTCTAACCATCCAGTTTTAAATAAAGCTTTCCTAGTTTTAGCATTTTTACTTAAAAATAGATGAACTACTTTTTATAATGTTTCTAAATCAGACTTGTCCCAATTTAACACATTATTAATTGTTTATTTTTTTCAATTATTTTAATTGATCACGTTATCAAGATAACTTTGTACCTGTTTTTAGATTTTAATTCCTAAAAATTTAATTAACTTATTATCATTAATTGAGTAATCGTAGATATTTATCTCTTCACTTTTGATGAATGAGTTTAAGATAAACATAAAAAATTAAGTAATTATTATTATTAATTATTTCGAAATCCTAAGCAATTATTTCGAAAAAGACATCAAACAAAATCATAATACTCGTATTACTAAAGCTGCTTTATGATCATGAATCGATTGCTATAGTGTTTAACGTTTTTTTTAACTATACCTGTACCTGCACATACTAAAAAAAGTATGGATACAATTTTCTGATTTTTGGTATTTATTTACCTCAATTTCAGAAAAAATATAAAACGCCATAGAAATATTTTATTTTTATTTAACATAAACTTAATACAACGACAATAAAAAGTCGTTACATAATTAATTATATGTGTTGGTTGTTGAAATAACTAGAAACATCTACACTATTGGATAATAAACATTAAGACCAATACCGCAGTGCATGGGGCCATTCCGTAGTAGTTTCATGTAACCTTTATCTCCCCAATTTTCACCATAGGAATTTTTTATTAACCAATAGTCTTTTCCATTTAAGCTACCGTAACCAGCAACAACAATTGCATGATTGAGCTTTTTTTTAGTTATTGTTTGAGCACACTCTTTAGTTTCATAAATGTCAGTCTTTTTCCATTTGTCAAAATTCTTCTTATCATTTTTGCTAATATGAATTGCTGCACTAACAGGGCCTTCAGTAGCTACTAACTTGGCTAAAAAGTGTTCTTTATTTTTGACATAATAAGGAATGGAGCTGTATCCAATAAGCTTTGCGACAGATTTAGTTTTGTCATAACGACAGTTTGACTTGTTTGCTTTAGCTTCATATTTGTAGTCAAAATCGCTATTTATGCCTTTATTTAAGTAAAGATAATTTAATGCTTTTTTGATCCAACCATATTTGCAGTCACCGGCAGCGATAGGTGAACAATCAAGAATTTGTTGTTCACTTAGCGTCGGTAGTTCTGAAGTCTTACTTTTTATATTTAAGCGAGCTTCTATTGCACCAATCTGTAAAAAATTAAGTACTTAAACTTTAATAAAAGCAACACTTTTGTGATTTTATAAATTGTAATGATTAGGTATTTATCAATAAATGGTGGTGGTACTAATTTGATTTAAAAATGAGTACAATCTTCTAAATAAACTGATTAAAATTTCAGGCAATAAAACAATAAAAGAGGCATTCAAACAACTTACAGCTGAAAATGCCCAGCAAGAACCACATGTGCTTTGATTTTTGACTTTCGACATAAATCCTCGTGCTCTCCAGTCAATTGCATTTTTTATGTCTGTGACCTTAATATCACTGAAATCACGGAAATCTTGACCTAATCTGGACCTAATCCTACGACCTGAACGTGAACCCTTTTCTTTTTCCTCTTCTGTAAAATCAGCTAGACTAGTAATGCCTAGTCTGAACTGTTCAAGTCCTTCGTCGTACCTTACGTTTTGTTTTTGAACGAATTTTAAAGTATTTGCAAAAAGACCTTTACGAAATGCTTCTTCTTTGGCGTCAAGATATTTTCGATCGTATTTTTTCTAGACACATTTTTTTATGATTAAAACAGAATAGTGTAGAGTTTCAAAACTTGCGCTCTTAAGAAAAATTTCAAGTAAAAAAAGTTACCAGGATCATAGAAAAATTGTTCTGTCTATTAAAAAAAATTGTTATTTGAGATTTTTTATGTCTATTTTTAGTGCTACTGGTGATTATTTTTTCATAAGAACGTTAAACATAGTTACAATTTAGAATACAGCTTCCTAGTTTTCTCTTCTCATACCCTACAGCAAAAAAAAAACATGAAAAATTATTATTCAAATAAAAATAAATATAAAATTTAAACCTCCATAATTCCGAAATTTTTATAGATAATTTTTTTTAACATTTTTTTCATGTTCCTGGTATCTTACCTTACATGGCATTTTTTCTCTGGGGCGCAAGTTCTGAAACACCCTGAAATATTTTATTAAGATTAAAAGTGTCAATTTTTTTTTGGCATTTGCGAGGCAAAGAGTAATTTGTGTAGCCGAGCGGATGCAATAAAATTGCAAGACAAAAAACTCACTTTTAAGCCGAATTAAACATACTATTTTTTTTCTAGTCGACAATAACATTTGCAAAATTATTGTATTTTTAAAGCTAGAATTAAATATTAAATGAAAAATTATTTATTTTTAAAGCTAGGAATAAAAGTGAGAGTTGATAACAATTTTTTTTCCTAGTATGTAATAAAAACCTGAATTTTATTTTTCAAAAATTACATTATACAGGGTGCGCCAACACTCGCGCCCCAGAGAAAATTTTCAAGTAAGGTAAAATACCAGGAACACGGAAAAAATTGAAAAAATTCTATCTGTCAAAAAATTGGGGCATTTATTTTTTGACATTTGACATTTTTTTATGAATCTGATGATCTTGTATATGTTTTTTTACAATTATTTAGTAAAGGTACAACAATTTTGTAATAAAAGCCACAAATAACATTGAACAGAGTTACAATTTTGGATACAGCTTCCTTATTTCCTCTTTTAATAGCCTATAGTAAAAAAACTTGGAAAATTATTTCTCCAAGAAAAATAAATAGAGTCAAAGTGCAAAATTTAAACCCTCATAACTTCATAATTTTTATAGATAAAATTTTTTTAACATTTTTTCCATGTTCCTGGGATCTTACCTTATATTTTTCTCTGGGGCGCGAGTTCTGGCGCACCTATATAATGACATGTTTTAGTGCGGCTGTTTGAGAAAATACATATTTTACTCACTTTAAAATTTTCCCACTGCGATTCAAGTTGATAGTCACTTATTGTAGCTGAGATGGCATAACTTGCCAATATCAATATTATGAACAATTTCATTTCGTACAAAATTTTGTAAACAAAGTTTTAGTAATAACACTAATAATAATAAAGCTAATTATAAATATGTAGAAATACATTTGCAAAAGGAAGCACTTAGCGAGCTGTTGGCCTTATAATAAATGATATGAAAGTACATCTGTTAACTGATTAAATACTGTTACGGATTTATTTGTTTATTAATTAGGAGTACTAATTATTAATTATCACATAGAATAGAATATTTGTTGGATTTTCCAACGTGAATAAATTAGGGAATTATAGGGAATATTCAATAAATTTGTTTTTGTCTCACCTGTTCATTATTTATGCATAATGAACTCTGTTTGCTGTCTATTATGAAGAAATTATACAACGTGTCATTATTTCATCTAGTCATCTATGGAATTTCTTTACATACATATGTCAATTTTTCTGTGCCGCTCTACTCTTTTTAAACTATAGTATAGTTCTCTCAACAGTGACAGCTGTCAATCAAAATTCTTTAACATTTGAGTTTAAAATGTATCTATCCCTATTTTTTAAAGCGGTATTTTTTATTTTCCTTAGCGACTAGTTGAAAATCATTTTGAAACACGATGTACCTTAGGGTAATAGGGGTCGCTAAGGTTTTTACAATTTATTTGCCAGATACTTATCTACTGTGTATTATCTATTTTACTTAATAATTTGTTTTTCTCGGTTACCTACATCATTTTTGCACTTTTCTGTTGGTCAGTTTTTAATTACAAGACCGTAAACATCTTGTATGCAGGGTGATTCACGAGGAATAATGAGCCTGACCAAATTCTCTTTTTTTCACTTTTTTTTTCTTTGTAAAGCAATTTCCGAAAATGTAATGGTGGTTGCATCGAGAATAAATGTAATGCTGGTTGCATCGAGAATTTGGTCAAGCTCATTGTTCCTCGTGAATCACCCTGTATAGCCCTTGGGCGACTTTTGCGGTGAAGCATAAAGAAATATTGACATAAATAATTTACAATTGTCTAAAATTCACTTGTTTTTATTTGTATATTGCATGATCTCATGATCAAATAAATGTGTCACCGAAGTCGACTCTCAGGAACAAGAACAATCCATTTTGGTAAACGAAAGATAAAAAAATGTGTCGGGTTTAAATTGTGTTTGTGATCGTCCAAAGATAGCTTAATGTTTTCACTTTAATATAATAATTAAATAGACAAAGTCTGTCCAAATATACTTTTACTCTTTTGACGACTTATCCGATATTTAACTGTCATGAATTTTATGGGGGCTCAGACTCAGATAATTTTTTCTAGCCCCCCATAAATAAACCCAAACTCCTAAACAAAACCTTTAGTTGCCGTTTTAGGCCCGTATTCCGAATTTTATGCTCAGATTTCACTATTTGCTTAACTATGCAAAAATGAATAGGTGTTAACCAGGAGTAATAGTTTATTATTATTAAAGCCATACTACTAAATTCTCTGTTAGCTCTGTTAAAGTTGTAGAAAAATATTAGCTAAACTGTTAGGACTAGCCACGATGTGCTTGGTAAAAGAAAAAACAAGTTTCTAGTAATGGGTACTATCCCGAAACAGGTATTTTTTTTTAAATAAAAGTAAATATAGGCAGCACAGAATACAATATTGTAGTGTGATTGTGCCAAATTCAGTTTACCTACTGTAGCAGGTCTAGCATATATTTGAATTTGATATTATCAGAATTTATTTTATAAAGCGTTTTTTATTTTAATAACAAAATAAAAATAGTTTTGAAACACTTTGTATACAAATGCAAAGAAGAAAACTGTAACAAAGCGCTTGCAATCAGGCAATTTTGTAAAGAGAACAACAGAGTGTGCTCTTGTTATTATTGATTCAGCTTAATGTAGTTGGAGTTGTGCGCATTATAAAGTCCTTTAAAAATGTTTTTCCTAAATGTGATTTGAAATAACATAAATAAATAATGTAAATAATGACAACGTCTTTCACAACCGACCCTAGTAGCAAGCGCGTCGTCGAAAAAGTGCCCCATTTACGTCAATCCCAAACTGTCAAATTTATCTAATCGAAAATGACTCAAAATTGACAGATTTTAGCCAAATCGAGTTAAAAATGGAATTACTGCAGCATTCGGTGTAGACAGTTTCATCCGTAAGTCCACTCCAAGCACACCCATCGTAAAACCCAACCAAATCCTCTTCAGTTCGAGCAGTCATGTTGAGCAGTTGTCAGTAGACCCACCTCCGAGGATGGGGGGCTCCGTGAGTCAGGTGTTCCAGTCTGGAAGCGCATTGTTGTCGAACGGCCACGGACACAAAGTATCTGACTCGACGAGACAAAAGGTACAAACGATTTTCGACGCTCTCAGAGCCAACCCAAAGATTGGAGTACAAAGATTAGAGGGGCTGTTGCAACAAATACCCAAAGTAAGTTGTCTTTGCACCCACAAAAACAAGCATTAATCTCGTTTTTGATGATAGAATGAGAATATTTTGGCCATACATGACGAGGCGGGCTATAACCTGCTGCAAAAGTGTGTGGGGGCGAATAACGTGGAGCTAGTTCGGTGGCTGTTGGCTCGACACACCGCTGCTGATGTCAATAGGTTTCCTTGTAGTCTTCCGCTTCATATTGCTTGCTTAAAAGGGTACAAAAATCTATCCAAATTCAACAGTTTTAAATGATATCATTTTTAGTCATGATGAATGTGTGGAATTGTTGCTGAAACATGGGGCTAAAGTTGATGTCGAGGCTCGAATGTGCTGGCCTGGGGCCCACAGTAGCAACTGCGAGGAGAGGGGAAAGTACAGTGAGTTTATTTTTTAACGGTTTTGCTTTTAATGTATTTTTTATGTTTAGTTATAGGAAAAATTTACTAACGTATTTGCAACTATTTATAAACAGAAAAGTGTTATGACATATTCATTAATTATTTTTATCTAAAACATACGAACGTAAGTACTAGAATTTCAACATATTATTATGCTATTTAACATATAAATCAAATGGTTTCAAACTACGGTGTAGTGATAAATTAAAATCAATATCTGAATCAAAATAAATCAAATAAAAATACTTACGAATTAATCACAAAGTTTATTGCAAATTATGATTAACGTTAATAGTTATTAATAGTTAATAACGTCATAATAGTTACTGTTCACTTATTGAGAGCTGTTGAATAAAAATAAAAATATGCCTTCTTGTAAACTGTTTTCTAACACCAAAACAGGCCCCCTAGAACTATGGGTAGAAGATGTAATTTGTTCCCAAGAGAGTAAATTGTCTCCGGACAACTGTGTAATTTTTTTCTTAAACTTATTAGTTGTCTTTAGTGTTAGAAAAAATGATATGTGAAATACAAGAAGAAAGTTAATTTTCGTCCCTTGTCACAAGTATGTAATTATTTTTCATAAGAAGAGGAATAATGATACTTTTGGGGCTTTCTTTACATACAGGGTGGGCCAGAACTCGCGCCTCAGAGAAAAATGCCATGTAAGGTAAGATACCAGGATGTAGAAAAAATTCTATCAAAATGGAAGCTTAAATTTTGCACTTTGACTCTATTTCTGTTAGAAAAATATTTTTTTTTGCTACAGGTTATAAGAAGAGGAAGCTGTACCCTAAATTGTAACTCTGTTTATCGTTATTTGTGACTTTTATTGGCAAAATTTTTGTACTTTTTCTAAATAATTATATACAAGATCATCAGTATCATTAAATAGACGTAAAAAATGTCAGAAAATTAATGTCAAATTTTTTTGACAGATGGGATTTTTGAAACGTTTTTGTATGTTCCTGGTGTACTTGTTTTCATATCGAAGTAGTCGTTGAAAGGGATCATTTTAAGGTGGCAATCATGCGAAAATTCTAACAATCTTAATTTTAATCTTCCCTAAAAATATATATATTTTTTCAAATAAATGTGTACTCCAAGTAGCAAAAAATAATTAAAATTAACAACGTAATTAACATAGCGTGGCACACATAACGATTTTTGTCATTATTGATGTAATTAAATTTGTTCTGAATAACATTAATGACATTTGTGTGAATCGGTCTTTAAATTAAAGTTGCATTTACAACCTACTTGACGCACATTAATATGAAAAAGAGTATATCTTGTCTTACTTGAAATATTTTTCTGGGGTGCGAGTTCTGACGCACCTTGTATTTGATGTTTTTATTAAAATTTAATTTGATCATTACTTTTTTTTGTTAATTGAAGCTGTTTGCAAGCATTTTGACTATTATTTTAATTAAAAAAAGGATAGTTTTTCGAGCGTTTTTATTTTCTTTACGCAGATTTAAAATTGATTAATTGATCGTTTCACAACTTTTTTGTGAGATGGAAGGGAATAATTTAGTTCCAACCATTGTTCAACACATTGAACAGTTTGTGATTTTCACAAAATGTTTAGGTTTTTTTGAAAAAAAAAGAACAAAAAAGAAATTGAGAAATTTTATGTAGGTAATTATAGTTTATTAAAGTGCTATGAATTTACTGCATTTCTAAAACCGCATTTTCTAATGTTTATTTTCTTGACACCGAAAGAAAAAACCACTGGAAAACAAAGTTAATAATAATAATTTAAAACTATTATTACTTGTAATTAATTAAAACATCATTAGATTTATTCGAAAATCCAAGACCGGGGTAGGAATTTTTAACAATATTTTAATTTGCAGTTTTATGTTAATAAAATTTTGCATTTCAGCGTCGGCCATCCAGCAAGAAGAGAACTGCATTGAGCGCGAGAGCCGCGACCGTCCTTCCAGCAAACTTCAATCAGCAATTTACTACGCTTTAGACGGTGACCAAGTAACTATTTTGACGATGTTATCGCAAAGAAGCGAAGACCCATGGGTGCAGTCTTATGTCTCAATTTTGCAATTAATAATTTAGAATTTTTTTAGAACGGTATTTTCCGTGCGAGAAAACCTCTTCTTCATGCCGCATGCGAACGTGGAGCTTGGCGCTGTACTCAATTCTTAGTTACCGAAAGAACTGACGAAATCCATATTCTAAAGGATGAATATTATCCAATCCACTACGCTGTACTACACGATAGCAAGTTTTTAGAACTTTTAATCAGTTCCGGTGCTGATACCACAGTCAGGACGTGTACTCAACAGATGACGTTGTTGCATGTTGGTGAGTTTTCATTTTAGTAGTGAAACAATCCACTGAAACGAAAATATTTTCAGTTCTTCTGGTGGCACACAAATCGGCGGAAGATACAATGTCGACAATTCGATTATTGTTAGACCACGGATGCAAAGAATTGATAAACACACCTGATAGTTTAGGAAATACACCTTTACATGCGCTTATAGTTAGATATGCCCTTGAGGAAGCCCAATACGGGTACGATAAATGGAAAAAATGGGACGTTTTACATTTGGTTAGGTATTTAATCCAATCTGGTGCTGGACAGTCAATCAATCATGCGGGAAATTCGGCTGTGGCCTGTGTTTTGAGGCATATTCGAGACTGGGAAGTTTGCTACGACTTACTCAACATGTTACTGCATGAAGGAGGTGAGTTTTAGAAGACTATTTTAGCAATCGTTTGTTTCTCAACTCGTATTTTAATATACATTGGATTGCGAGCAAATATTTTAACCACTAAGAGAATTTGTTATGAAAAGTCGAATTGAAGACCAAACAAATTCCGTATCCAAATTTTATTTTTGCAATTTCCCCCCTATGATTTTCACGAGCCGTTCAGTGTGTCTGTTGGAAGTAAAAATATCAATGAAAATAAATTGCATTGAATGTTGATCGTGAAAGTTTTTATACAGAAAAAGAAACTTTTTGTCCAAAAAAATTATCACTTGTTTACACGTGTCAGTTTAGTTAGTTGTTAATGCGCTTTCGGGTGAATTGTGCACATCGATTTAAAATCAAATTGTTAATCAAGTCATTATGGCCAACTACTCAAACGTCAAATTAACTAGTGTACGGACATCACTTCCAAGACCGATTTTCACTAAATGTTTGGGCAGCGATCATTGAAGATCACCAAATTGGACCCCATATATTACCTCAACGTTTAACTAGTGCCGTTTATCTGGATTTTTTTGAAAATGTGTGTGCGAACGCAAGCTTCCCTAGACCGAAGAGTACAAGTGTGCATTGCCAACGAATGACCACATTTCGAGCAATTTTTTATAATAGCAAGTATTGACCCACTAACATTGACACTGATCTATCCTAATGTAGCGATAATTTTTTTGTCTTTACGCTGTTTACGTTCCAAAGTTTTTTCTTATGAATGATTGTAACCATCGTATTAAGACATAGGCGGGGACGGGTTTTCAGCCTCAATTTATTTTTAATTTTGACTCAGAAATGACGTGCTTTCGACAAAAGTTGGAATAACTATTAGTGGTTAAAATATTTGCTCGCAATCCTCAAACACCCTGTAATATTTTTAACTTTCAATTTTAGGCGATCCTAATATGGTCGGTAGGGACGGTTCAGTGCCTTTAATGGTCTGCTTAGTTCCCTTAATAAATAAAGATCCGCTTCATCATTTCACGCATAGCATGAAGGTGACGATTTGTGGATTATTTATCGTTAAAATTTCTGATTTGAGTTGTTTGTTTCAGGTGTGTTACTTAAATTGTATCAGAATTTTGCTGAAAGAGGGCGCCAATCCTAACTGTAGTTACAGAGCCAACTTGACACCTCTCCACGTGTTAGTTTTCACCGTATCGGAAAACATAACGTTGAATTGCGACGTTCAGAAAGAGCTCAATTTTGAATTCATAAAGAATTTGTTGGTTCTTTTGCTGATCCACGGTCTTGATCCGAACGTAAGGGTTAGCATGAGGACGCAGCATATTTTACAATCGTGTATGGATATGATACAGAATGTCCGCGACTCGAAAGATATCCACTACGTGTACGACCTTACGCTTACTTTGGTACAATACGGGGCGAATCCCGACCTAATTTTGAACATGTCCGAAGCAATAAAGAACCATCCATTGCATCTCCAGTCTATATGGAAAACGAAAAACTACATCTTGTACTATTACATAATGCTTATATCGCGTAAAGAGAATCTCATAATGGATCCAAACATGAGTTTTTCGAAAATAATCATGTTATTTTATTTTATAATGGAGCACAAGCCGTTATTTGAATGTTTGAAGATTTTGCACACTCAACAGTTGAGTTTGGTACCGGGGAAAATGACTGAGCCGTTGACTTGTATTATTAGAGATTTATATAAAAGACCAAGAAGTCTGAAACAGATCTGCCGCGTTAAAATACACAACTGTCTCGGACGTAGACCGGGACTTTACATTAACAAATTGAATCTGCCCAATCAGCTGAAAGATTATTTGTTGAATTTTGAACCGTAGATCTTGATGACTCGAAGACGTTCAGGATTTCTTCTAATATCGTTTTAGAATTAAGTGGCGAATATCTAAATGTGACCCTCTTTAGCCCAGTGTTGTACATGTTTCTTTAATTCCTTAATAATTTTGAAAATACTCGTCAAGTCAATTATCAAAACGTATCAATTGTTTGACTTGTTTCTGGCGCTAGCTGTGATATGTTAAAAAATCCTGGACGCCCTTGAGCCGTTGTTAGTTTTTAAGGGAGATAATATACTTGTGATTTCTTGTTAAAATTTCTAAATTCTAGTAATCGTAAGTGTTCAGTTGAAATGGTACAATTGGGGTCGAATAAAAAGCAAGGATGTTGTAGAACTACGACTTATGATATCTTAATACGCTTTTGAGCTGTGTTCGTGTTGAACAGGGTTTTGTGCAGATTACACAGTTTTTAAATGAATCACTCACGCTATTTAATTCCGTGGCTCTTACGTTCTAAATACACTGGACACGGTTTTGGTTCCATCACTCGGTTTTTCTTTGACAATAAACATTTAGCTCGGTTTGTTGTAGGAATCTGGCAAAGTCCTATGCTATACAAAATATCAGCTCTGTAAATTTAATATATATGCCAAATATTATTAAGAGCTAAGTATAATATATAAATTGGATAGTATATTTTATGTTAAGATTTAAGATTATGTGATTTTATTGTTGAGGCATATTGGTATCATATTTGGATAAAAAGTATTTAATAAAAAATGTCTATATTGAAACGGTTTTTGCTTCCTTTCGACATTAAGAAAATATTTCTTAATTTTGCAGTTTTTATTGGGACAGTGCCCCCTTCTATTTCCCGGGCGTACCGCCACTGGTAAGATTCAAGTGACAAGTTCGGGTATTTTAACTATCTATCCTGTGTTCAAGGCACAAAATAGTGAACGATTTTACTTAATGTAAGCAAAGTGAGGCGTTATTGAATCGAAATTTGCTTAATTACGTTTAAATTAGCGCAATTAATTTTGAAAAAAACGTGTCAATTCCCCTTGCCGCTAGATGTCGCTATCGAGTGCGCATGCGCAGAGCTGTGCAAGCCAATGGTAACCGTATATTCATCACAGCCCACTCTGCCGTTCACAAAATGTCACTTCTCTTATTTCGTTTCGCCATATTGGTCGTTGGGTGCGCATGAAATCGTCGTCCATTTCCCTTTCATGGGCAAGTTTCGGCGAAAAAGTACCGGTGCATAAGTGTCCAAGTGCAATTTCGATTTAGTACATAATAAATTCGCGATAGCCTGTGAAACAAAGTTTGTTTTGTGTGTGAAGTGTTAGCGACAGAACTAAAAATGGCGTGCGCTACTCTGAAACGTTCGTTGGATTGGGAGCCCGTGTTGGGGGGCCGACCGGCCAAACGCAGGCGCTGCATTCCCTTCTGCGAGAGCCCCACGCACAGAGACCGGGCTTCGCCCCCTGCGACCGTCGCCTCCCCCAAGCCCAAGTCCGTCTTTCCCGATGTCGTCAGCCAAAAATTGACCCCTGGTAAGTGGACAGGGCCGGCCTAAGGGCCGTTGCGGTTGTTGACACTCGGATTTATCAGCTGATAAAGGAGTGACGTCCGAGGGGCTTTCGGCCTCCGTGCTAATTGCTTATCTTCGTTAGAGCATCGTGATTTTAGAAATTGAGGTTATCCGCTCGTGTTATCACTACGTTTTAGGATATTTTTGCCAATTTGACGACTCTGGGTGCGGGTATATCGATTTTGGGAACGGAGGGGAGTTGGGACATTAAATTTTATAATTGGGGCTTACAGGGCCTCTCGCTTTGGATGTCTAGATTCGATTGGAGTTTTATGGGAAATTTCATGACCGATCGAGGAATACATAAATCTTCCACGATTTGAGTCATATAATTTCGGTGCTTTCATGGCTAAACGTAATCATGAAAGATACTTAAGATTTTATTGTGATTTTTATAAGCTTGAAGATAAAACTTTAGGTTCTTTATACACACTTGGGCTTGCGGCTAATGAAATTTTGGGTTTCTAGCCTGTGGCTCACACATTTCTTTGTTTATTTACGGTCGACAATCGTAATTCATAAAAAAATTAATACACACCAAATTGTTAAAAGTGTTTTTTTTAACGGAAATTCCAGGTAGTCTTTAATGTTGGTACCACTACCACGTTCAGTTACAGTAATTTTAATAAAAGAAACACGAAAATAAATTAAAAAATCCCGATTTTTCAATAAATGTCAGTTAAAAAAAGTGTCAAAAAACACAAAACACAGATTCTGAAACTAATTTGTCTACATTAGTAGTAGACATGTCAATTTCATATCTTCCATCTCTATATTACTATTCAATGTCGCCAACTTAATTTCACAGTCCACTAATGCAAAATATTTGTCTAAGCATTTTTGAGATTTTTCTAATTTAAGCTAAAAACTTAGTGATTAAACATTAAGAAATTTTGTAAATGTAAGCACATTTTTCACGTTACATAAAAACATACTCTACATTTTTTTAAATAAATTTTGTTTCCGCTACTTTGTTTTATAGTCAAGTGTGCTTAAAAGCCTTTTTAATGAAGTTATTAAGGCTTGTACACGTTCTCTTAAAAACAAAATAAATTGATCTCATATTTTACATGAGGTTTTTACCTTTAAAGCTATTTTTAAATTTCAGACTCGTTTCAATAATAATCAAAAAACATAAAATGTAATTTGTAAAAGTTGCGAGTAATACAAATAAATATTTCGTAATGTTTTTTAAAATCTCGCAAACTTGTTTGGATCACGTGTAATTGTAATTTTTGTTGATTTTAATTTTGTTATTGTCTTTTTTTATAAATGTAGTCACAGGTGTAAGTGATATACAGGGTGTTTCAGAACTCGCGGCCCAGAGAAAAATGTAAGGTAAGATACCAGGAACATGGGAAAAATGTTAAAAAAATTCAATTTTTAAAAATTTCGAAGTTTCAAAGTTGCACTTTGACTATTAATTTTTGTTGGAAAAATAATTTTCCAGGTTTTTTTGTTACATGCTATTAGAAGAGGAAACAAGGAAACTGTATCCTAAATTGTAACTTTGTTTAATGTTATTTTTGGCTTTTATTGGCAAAATTTCTGTCTCTTTACTAAATAATTATAGAAAAAACATACAAAATTATTAGTACTATTAAATAGACATAAAGAAATTTCTTGACAGAGAATTTTTTAAACATTTTTTCATGTTCCTGGTATCTTATCTTACTTGAAATTTTTCTCTGGGGCGCGAATTCATACACACCCTGTATTTTTCAAAAATATTTTGTTCGCTTGCTCTATTGTCTTAGTAATTGATTAAAATCTTAAAAAAAGAACATGTTTTGTTATTTACTTTCAATTGCAGTGTATTTTAAACTCTGTACTTGACATGACTTATAATAAATCCATTGTAAACATATTTGATAAATTTACTGTTTTGAGTATAAACTGTAGATGAAGATCAAAAATATTTGTGTTTACGATAACAAAATAAATCATTTGATTACGGGGTTGGGTTTATTCTGTTTAAAATTATAAAACTATAAAATTAATAAAACTTGAAATTTAAATAGTCCTCAAAAGATTTATTTTTAAACACCAATTATTTGAATATCTATTGTTCTAAATAAGGCAATTTTACTTCCTGGAAAAATATTAACGCTTATCTTTATACTTTGAAGGTTTATCAACATTATTTGAGTTTACGTTCAGAATGCTTTTAGTTCGTAATCTGGTCATTTTTCAGAGTATGTAGTTGGTAAGTCGTAAAGATGGGTAAAAGCTCATCCCGACTTAGAAGGACACCTGTGTCCACTTTCCACGAAACTGGCATGCATTTTACCGAGGGTTTTACTGAAAACTTGAACATTTATGGTTTTCTAAATTGAATTAAATGTACTACTGTGTGAACTAAAACATTTCGAGGTGTGTTACAGGCATAAAATGTTGCTTTGTTGTTCAAATTTATGTATCTAATAACGCAAAACAGGCAATGCTAATACGTTAAAATGTATGTAAATCCGGCAAAAGTGTCACCGTGTCCAACCATCTGCAATCATAAATTATCAGCTAAAATGCATCGAGTCGAAAAACAAGTTCAGTTATTTGGAAATTTTATACTCAGATGTAGTCCAAATGCAAACTCTAGAAGAGATTTGAACGGTACATCCGATATTTAAATTTACATTTTCATTAATAAAACTTGGCGTGAATCCGCTATTCTAAATTGAAATTGATGGAGGAAAATGTTTTGTTTACCTAATAAATATTTGAATATATGGTGAAATGTTGCATAAGAAAGTGTTTCCTTTTGAATTGTAGATACGTACTTGACTCAAGTCGCAAGTTTAAATTTGAATAAAGAAAAAGATGCCCAGCATTATTTTACATACATAATTAACGACGGGTATAATTAGTACTTTTCTCTTGAATAACCTGGATTGTATAATTTGGGTTCCAAGTGTCGACTGTCTTAAAATTTCAACAATGAGAATTTTGAACCCGGATTTAAAAAAAAATGTCACTTTTAATTCTGGGTCTAGGACTTTTATCATTTGATATGTAGCTTTGATTTAAAGTATTTATCGATGGTAGGGCAATAATTATTGATAAGAGTGTAGAGGGATTTTGTATTAGTCATATTTATTTTTATTATGTTAATAAAATCACTACCGGAAATTATTTTTGTTTTATTATTGGATTATTTAGATTATATTTGGTAAACAATCGAAATATTTTTTTATCAGATGAATTCAGCAACAATAAATTAATGGTCGTTTTTATTTGAGTTTTTTATATTGCCTGTGAAAATTTCGTTGCACAGGCCATCTGTAGTACCTATATTTTAGAAATGATCTTTTGAGAAACTACAAAGCATCCCTGCTGTGTCCCCCCGGGACATTTCGTAACGAAACTCTTATAAAATCACCACAGCTTTCACAGTGGTATTTCATTCCCTTTTTATCTCATTCTAATCAATATGTTATCATGTCTTTCGGACGTAACTAATGTGTTCGTTTCTTGTATAATTGCAGAATACATGGCAGAAAACATCAAAGCCGAGTTACGAAGGTTACAAAGACGCAAACAGTTACAGTACAGCATGGAAAATTCGGACGGAAGCAGTTCGGGCGGAGAAAATTCCGAATCTCCTTCACGCTCTGAAAGAGCACTTTTTACATTTAAACAGGTTCGTAATGCAGAGGTTTTCGTAGCGGATCTTGTGCTTATCTTTCGTTTTTCTTGTTGTTTCCAGGTTGGTTTAATCTGTGAACGTATGCTCAGGGAACTCGAGTCTGAAATTAGAGAGGAATACGACAATGTGCTTACGGGAAAGCTTGCAGAACAATACGATGCCTTCGTCAAGTTCACGTATGATCAGATACACAAGAACTACAGCACGGCCCCACCTAGCTGTGAGTATTTTGCGAATTGGCGGTAAAAAATTAAACAATTGTGAAGGTTTCGTGAAGAAATTGAAGTTATTTTGTGAATTAATCGATTCGGAGTGTTGACAAAGCGAATATAATTCGGTTTTGGTTGAAAATAATTGCATCACGATTGAGTTCTTACACTGCGTGTAATTTTTTAACATTTCGGTTAGAATACAAGTATTTTAGTGAATTTTGTAACGTAGATTATGCTTTTGTTATGTTGAATAATTAGTTTGTTGTGATTCACTGACTTTGACATTGATAAAAAATATTAAGTAGAAATAACTATTATACAGTAATTTCATGTATTTATTTTCTACTGAATGTAATAAACCGCAAATGTTGCGGAAATACATTGTCGAAAGTTTCTGTTTTATATTATACTTACTGTGTTTTGTTTCAGATTTATCGTAAGGAAAATTCTGACATTGGCAACGTAGCAGCGGTGTCACAAACTAGCCACTAAACAGTCGTTACTATCGTTTATACACACAACATTATACAAAAAGTCGTCAGTCAGCAGGATGCCTTAGAACATAACCCGCTCTCCTTGCCGGCAATTTCTTTTGTACATATTTATAATATATCCCTATAAAATATTTTAAGATCATCTGTATTATCTTACTGGAATTGAAACATTAGTTTTGTCTGTATATATCGTTTTTTATAGTGCTACCAATGCGGTGTTGTAATCGATAAATGTACGGATTTGGCTGTTTGGTTTTTGTTTGTTTAACAATGATGCCAACTGTATGATTGTCATGCCCGAATGAAATAGACTGCARATCCCAAAATCATCGTTTTCAGTAATCATCCTACAGTTTTTTCTTTTACTCGTCTTTTGTTATTTAACATTAAAAACAGTCTCATCGTTAACAAAAAAATGCCTTAAATTTGTGTTTCCGTGTAGTGCGAGCGCGAACATGGATGTGAGTTTGTGTGTTTCATATAAAGTAGGTTAAGTTCTGATTTAAAGACCACAATTTTGCCATATGTGTGATGGTGTTGATATATATTTTTTCTATAGTTACGTTCAAACTATATAAGTGCTTCAATTGTATCGACGTTATACCAGGACTTAGATCTTAAGAAACTTAGAGAAGATATCCAGTCGATGGTCTGTCGTTTACGAAACGTCAATTTAATGAGATTTTCTACGACTTTCTAGTCAGTTTCTGATTTTATTTTTGTTTGCGAAACTGATTGCGTTCAACAACCACTGTTTGTTTTGTTGTATTTGGTTCGACTTGGTTACATTTAMCAAATAGATTAGTTATAAATTGTACGTTTTTATATAAAGCGCAAGGATATTAATAAATGTATATAGATTTCGCTGTGAGAGAAGTACTGCTTTAATTTTTAAAGCTGTGTTTATAACATGGGTCTGATAATACCGGCCTTAACTAACAACAYTCTTGAGATTGTACATATTTATTCAATTAATAGTATTTTTAAGTTACAAGTACAATAAATAAAACAGTGAACATTTAACCACTTCTCATTAAATTGATTCAGTGACGTTACTTTAGTGTTCAGTTGCGAATTTTGCTCTTTCGTTATTAGTAAATGAATTAGTTTATTTTTTGTTTTTAGTTTAGTGCATGCTAAATTTAAGTTGTAGCTTCTTTTTTGCGTTAGGTAACTGTTATGACTAATAATAAAACAAATAAAATTTAATTTGTTTGTACTTTAGCATTATTTATTTCTTTAGTCTAGATCATACGCAATATTTTGTTGTTGATCAATCGAATATTATGTTTTATATCAATCGATCCTGATAAGATTTCTTATGTTTAATATGTTAAGGTTTAATAAAAAATGGTCCGCTCCCAGCCTCTTGTTTTACCTCAACACAATTCTGAACAAACCTAAAGTAGATTTCATTTAAATTGGCATAATAGGTGGCTATGGAATTTCGTATTTAAGTTTGTAGCCCTGCACATGTTCCTGTTATAACAGCTGATGGGGTTTTTGTTTTTCTTTGATTACTTACCTACATGGTTTATTGAACTGACATGACTGACATTTGTATTCGTTTTTTCAGTGTTTTCGTTGTTTGTTCGTTATTCCCACTACTTTCTCAAATTTTAATTAAAACTAGTTCTCTTCAGATTTAAAGTACTCGCTAAGGTATGTTTGAAAACATAATGAACTTCTTTTTGTTATTCCTGTTTTAGGAATTTTAGGTTAATGGAATCAACTATACCAATTTGAATTAAGCCAAATTACTTTATCCAGGGCAAAACACCATTTTTCAGGCTGCAGTACGCGAAGCTTCATTTTGTACAGATTTCTTTTTTCCCCTCCGATCGCAACAACTTTACCATTGTTTAAAAATTCAAAATTTTGTCCTACATTTTTAATGACAAAATC